AATGACTGGTACAAAGATGGACACAATTCCCCTGCCCGGGCCAGGTTAATCCCAGGACTTTCATGGGAATTATTGGGATGTAGGCATTCTTTCCATGAGTGGTTCTAAGCTGGTGGGACATATCTGAAATTGTTGAGCCCTCCTATGGAGAAAGCATACATGACAATGAAGATGATACAGAGGAAAGCAGAGCTGAGAAATGGAGAGAGACCAAGAACTAGCTACACCGGCAGATTTTTCATTTTCATGAGTCAATAAATTCCCTTTTTGGCTTAAGCCAATTTGAGTTAGGGATTCTGGAACTTTGCTTGAAATAATCCTAATTTTAAAAAAATGTCCAGAAGCAGAATTGTATTATCAAATTGCTTTCCCTAGAAGTTGTATCAAGTCCCACACCACCATCAAAGGTGCTTCTTCTATTGCATTTCCAGCATTAAATGTTGTTACTTTGAGAATCTTTGTCAATTTGATTTTTTAAAAGCTTCATATTTTGTGTTTAACTACCAGTGAAGTAAAATTTAATAATTTAATATTTAATAATTTTAAATATTTAATAATTTATTTAAAAAGTAGAATATAATTTGTCTATTGTAAATTGTCTATATTTTTTGCTTATTTTTCTCTATCACCCTATGGCCTATGGATTGATTACAATGATTTACCCTTTGACACTTATGGAATGTATTTTTCCTCTGGATTTTATACTTTAAAAAAAATTTATATTTTTTCTGATTATAAAATATATTTATGGCAGAAATTTGGAAAACACAGTAAAATTCAAAGAAGAAAATAAAAATCACTTTTAATACCACTATTCTAAACACGTTGGGGAAATTCCCTCTAAATTTATATATACATTGGGGAAATTCCCTCTAAATTTATATATAATTAATAAATTATTAGAATATAAGTGAATGTGTTTGTGTATTTATAGCTTTTTAACCTGTTTTGCCACTTACGATTATTTCACAGGAATTTCCCCTTTGTCATTTTTTTTAATAGTATATTTTAAGTTTACATATTTTTTTTTTAAAGATTTTATTTATTTATTTTTCCCCCAAAGCCCCAGTATGATAGTTGTCTGTCATAGCTGCACATCCTTCTGGTTGCTGTATGTGGGACGTGGCCTCAGCATGGCTGGAGAAGCGGTGCATCTGTGCGCACCGGGGATCCGAACCCCGGCCGCCAGCAGTGGAGCGGGGATCCGAACCCCGGTCGCCAGCAGCAGAGCACAAGCACTTAACCGCTAAGCCACAGGGCCGGCCCTCCCCTTTGTCATTAAATAATCCTCTAAATAGATCTTGGATCCTCTCAGGAACCTGAGAAAAGCCACAAACTCACTTTTCAGACAAAAAAAAAAAGTCATATGTAGAAAAGTTGATGCATCATTTCAGAAGGTTCTCAGATTCATCCATGGACCCCAGACTGAGAACTCTGGCTGTAAACATGATACTTAGCATCTGCAGAGCGGTCTCCTGTATAGTGCTCTCCAATTTATTTAACTACATCACATCAGGCTTAGGAGCACGGACTTTGGGGTCCAAAAGCTTGGGTTTGAATCCTGGCTCTATCCCTCCTAGGGGGTGACTTGGCAAATTTCTAACCTTGTTAAGCCTATGGTAAGGATTAAATGAGATGATCCACGTAAAGCCTTAGAAGATTGTCTGCTACATAGTAAGCACTCAATGTAGCTCCTTTTTTTTTTTTTAATTCCCTGATTTTTTCCTCAGGATAAACTCCTAGAAATATAATTACTGAGTCAAAGAAGATACACATTCTTAGGGCTATTGTCATCTGCTACCAAGTTTTCTTCTAGAAAGTATACACCACTAGCAGGATGAGTGAGTGCCCAGTTGACAGTATCCGTGCCACCATAACATAATATCATTTATTTCAGTCTTTTCCAATAGTGAAAAAATGGCATCTAATTTCTTCAATTTAATTTCTTTGGTTACGAGTGAGTGTGAATATTTTTTATGAGTATATTGGTGACTTGCATTCCTTTTTGTGATCTTGTGTGTCTATTCCTATCATTTGCCTTTTTTCCTATTGTGTTGTTTGTTCTTATTAATTTGTAAAACTGTTTTATAAGTCCATGATATTAGCT